CCTTTTCCCGTCTTGATGCACGCCGGCAGTTCGTTTTTGCGGAAACCTTTTTGATTTTATCGTCTCGGAGTGATCCGACCCCCACGGGACTTCGCGGCGACAGTTCGACCCCGGGGAAAACCTCTGGCACGAAACGAAGGCCTCCCGTTCCGTCTGGGAGACTCAACCCTTACGGCCAAAAATCCTCGGCCACGCCCCTCCTAGAACTCTGATCGGCGACCCCGTACAGGACACCGCGAGGGGGCGTGAGGTTGCGTATCACAGTATCCTACCTCAGTGTGACCAGCACTCAGGACCATCACCCTACCATTATTGAGGGCAACTTGGACCAGACAGCAGTGACAAGCACCAGGGTTGGGCCAACCTTCCAGCCCTAATGGAAGCGGAAGTGGACGAACCTTGCGGTAGGGGAACTTCGGACGCCAAGCTCATGCAATCTTCTACAGATAGATCTCTTCTTCAAGAAGGAGAGAATCTACGAGCTACCCATAGCAGGCTAAAGGTTTGACGTAGTTTGAATTCATTTTTTGATCTTTTTGGTAAAAGTCATAAAACCTCCCCCCCCTACAAATCCTTTGTATCCTGGCCCAATGAGGCTGTTCAGCGGTTGATGAGAGTGGGGTAGCACAGCTACTCTGACATGGTTAGACTTGGCATGTGTTTATAAGGATTATTGGAAGTATGAGGTTTTGGTTTAGGTGGATTGACTCTAAGCTAAACTGACTAATGCTGTCAGGATAACTCCGGGTTGAATTGTGAGGTCCCCGGCCTCAGTTACTATTCTTTTGAAAGTTGAAGTTCTTGTTAAAAAAAAAAAAAAAAAAAAAAACTTTGTATCCATTTCCCCTCGAAACGGGGAAAAAGGTCCCGCAGCCCCCAAAATCACTTCGGGCGTCATTTTTGCACCCTGCAAAACACTTTCCCGCCATTTTTACACAGCGGCCGTTACAGGCGCAGCCAGGGTGGAAAAACCACACCAAAAGTGAATTTGTTTTTTCCCTCCCGAAATTGCACTTTTATTAACAGGGCCCAGTGCCCAAGGCAAATTACATCATCAACATAGTCAATAACAAGGACAACAGGGTTGTCCCGCCCCACCAGGAGCTCAGAGCCCCTTCCCTGCATACACAGTCTTCACACTCATTACCCAAACGCGGCACCAGCCCAGCCAAGAAAGCAATCTCTACCACCAGCCCTGCCAAGAAAGCAATCTCTACCACCAGCCCTTGTGAAACGGCGCTACCCTCATTTTTGCACCCTCGAAACGTGGCACCAGCCCTGTGCTCAGAAGAAGTCATGAAAATATCTGAAAATTTGAGGGTCCGTAGATTAGGTCGTGATCTTTCAGGGAAAAATAACAGAAAAAAAATAAAATCATTTTGACTGTGAAATATTCGCCACGCCGATTCGGTTTATTTTCATTTTTTGTCGCAAATTTCGTACGGAGGCCAGCCCGGTTTTCCACGCTGTACGACCGGTACCCGTCGTGAAACGGCGCTACCGGTACCCCGAAGTTTTTGACGTCAGGGGGACCTGTGGTTTAAGCCCTCTATCCCGGGGCTAGGTCCCACTTGCACGAATTAAGAGATACTGACCGTAGATAACAAAGATCAACGGCCGAAATCTCCTAATTTGCGCAAGTGGGACCTTGGCCCCGGCAGTGGTAAGAGAGCCTTCCGAATTGAGGGCTTATCTGCCGGGCTGCTCCTTCTATTGGTGGGGAGCGGCACCTGCTGGAAATCAGGTCCAGCGTCCCATTGATACACCCTCAGCACAAACAAAGTAAAAACTACCAGTTCCAAATAAGCGAGATTCTAACAGCCCTCAGAAGAAAGGGCAAAAGTGATTTTGGGACCTGCGCCACTTTTTTCACCCGTTCGGGGGAAAATGGATACAAAGGTATCCTCGTGGGGAGATTTTACGCCTTCCCCCTTTTTTTTTTTTGGTGGTTGCGTAGTTTGAATTCAGAGTTCGCATCTGGATTCGAACATGGCTCTGCGTTTGAACAGATCTGGTCTTCTGCTCTTCGAGAAGGAGAGAGATGTAGCAAACTAAGTGGTAGCAGGCGAGAGGTTTGATGGACTTTTTGCTGTTGTTCGCCGTCGGGTGGGTGTGTGTGGGAGGCACAATTTTTCTGTACACGTGGCAAGGCGAGGGAGAAGAGGGTGGTGGTCTGAGTCGGCGATGAAAGAGGCCAGTCACACAGAGAAAGACGACAGCCAGTCTTACGTGTCACACGCTAAGTGCTATACGCTCACGCTTTTTTCTCTTTTTTTTGAAAGCTGCCTTGTCCTCATCGGGGGACAAGGTAGGTAGTGTGAGGTGAAATTGATCGTTTGTTGTCCTCTTCTCTCTCTCTGCCTACGGTTTACCGGGCAGTTCTATTTGTGACGATATATATATATACGATATATATTCCTCTCACGTGACATATCTTTCTTAACTGCCGTTCTGCCATATGTCATTATGGAACATGTATGAGGGGGTTCAACCAGCAATAAACGCCGCTCTGCTTGCTACGGTAGCCCTCTCGGCCGGCCGGCCGGCGTGAGGACAGGAAAGGAAGGAAGGGGGAAGGGAGACGGGAGACGCAAAAAAACAATGTAGTTGAGAGGTTTTACTGTAGTGGGCCTCGCACCACTACACTACTCCCGAACTGTGCAAAACGAGAGTGAATCCACCCATAGAACATGGAAAGATAGACCGCCAAACTTTTTGTCTTTTGTGCATGATGTCGAGAGTAGTGGAGCGAGGCCCACCCACTCCCAGTATCACAAGAGTAACTACATCGTGTAGTTGAGTTGAGGTTTTAACTGTCGGCCAGCGGCAGGGGACAGGAGGGAGAAGGAAGGAACGGTGAGCGAAGTAAAAGTAAAAAATGATGAATGATAACAGCGACATGCGGAGGGAAAATTTGCCCCGACGAGTGGAGATCGTGGAGATCGTGGGTTGCTTGAAACGTTTCTTGCAATTACAGGATCGAAGGGTTCAGATCTACAGACGATTTGATCAAGGATTCACAGAGTACCTCTCGAACGGTCATGAAGGGACCTATCAAAGGCTATGTCATCAAATTACGCGAGAGTTCAGTGAATGTTCAAAGCAGGTGAACGACGTGGAAGCAGAATTGCGACAGAAGAAGAAGAAGAAGGGCATTAGCAGCGATGGCGATGGCGATGACGGCGATGGCGGCGATGGCAATGGCGACGGATCGTCGCCGTCCGATTTCGCAGATTGGATCCGTGCCGTTCAAGGCCAAGAAAAGCAAAAGCTAGAGATGACAGCGATCTTACAGGTACTAAGAAAGGCGGGAAGGCCATCTGAGAGGGGAAGGGCAGGGGGGGTTCGATCCGTCCAACCTAGTAGCGCATCCGCCTCCTTATCATCCTCCTCCTCATTGTCGATCTCCTCCTCCTCCTCATCCTCATCTTCATCTTCATCATCAACGTCATCATTACTGCTGACATCAGGAGGAGATCTTCCTCCTCCTCATGGACATTGTCATCTAGAGCAGCAGCTTTTGTTTCCTAATAGCAATCAAGGGATAGAAGGCGTGGAGGATGCGCAATTAGAGGCAGAGTATGATGGCGCCATCAGCGAAGCCACGCAAGCTCTGCAACAATCCATCTTGGCCATTAACGACCAATTAGAGGAATTTCGTTACGCGATCGCCGAACTGGAGGAAGACGATGAAGAAGACTCTTGATCGTGACGTCATCTTGGCAAACTTCTCTCTCTCTCTCTGCCTCTCTCTCTCTCTCTGTCTCTCTCTCTCTCTCACTCGCTCTTTTTCTCTGTCTGTCTGTCTGTCTGTCTCTCTCTCTTTCTTTCTCTCTCTCTCTCTCTCACACACACACACACACATACACACCCAGTGGGACCGACGATTCAGCCTCCTGATGACACGGTGAAAGTTCGACGGAACAGTCTGTTTCAGTCACCCTTCTTTTGTGGAGTGTTGCGCTTAGCGGGATCACAAAATAGAGGGGGATAACGCTGATTGAAAATCCACCTTAGGCCTCTCCTCTTCTTATAGAGTTTGATTGATTCTCCCTCCCTCTCTCTCTCTTTCTCCCTCTCTCTCTCTCTCTCTCTCTCTCTCTCTCTCTCTCTCTCTCTCTCTCTCTCTCTCTCTCTCTCTCTCTCTCTCT